CAATTTGTGTGTATGGATGAGAATGCCCGCCCTCACCGTGCAAACATCGTAAACGAATGCCTTCAATATGAGGATATCACCCGTATGGACTGGTCAGCATTCTCACCGGACTTGAATCCAGTAGAGCACGTGTGGGAATGCTTGGCCGACGAGTTGCAGCCCGTCAACCTCCTCCTACATGTCTACCGGAACTTCGGAGAGCATTGCTTATTGAGTGGTGTAATATTCCCCAAGATCAGATCGATAATTTGATACTCAGCATGCCTAGGCGTTGTACGGACTGTATTGCATCGTCTGGGAGACATACAATATATTCACAATCATACCAACCCTGTAATATTTGTTTTTTGTAAGTAGGTGTTTTTTTGTAATTTGCTCCAGGGAGAAAAAATCGCTATTTGTTTTAATAATATTAAACATATAGAATCTTTTTTTGCTCTTTACCTTTTGTTTAATAAATAAGCTTTACAAATAAGTCAAATTTGTTTTGCTTCTAACTCTTCCTTTGCCTGATTTTCCATTATACTTAATTTATGGACATGAGTGTAAATTCGACTTTCCCAACAGTACCTTTTTTGGTTTTTCTTGAAAGGCTCACAAAGAGTCTATGTCAGTATCATTACGTGTACCTATATTTGTATTTGGTTGAAAGTTCTTTCAACATACTGTCACGTCGTGCGTGTCCAGTACTCAAATGAGTTTTCATGAAGTACGGGAAATAACTCAAGAGTCTGTGAGGTAATTCTGTATAGTATTGTTACGAATTTGGTATTTAAAAAGCTAATTTTAGTTCAATTATAAATTAAATGGTTTTATTTCCCGCGCAGTGCAGCGCGTGACGAATATTAAAAGAAGAAAGCTAAGCCGAAAAATTGAAAATACAAGAGCGCGTGCATTAAATAAATAAATATCTCTTTTTGATTTCGAGAAAGTACTGGAAAATTCTAGCGAGTGATTTTAAAATCTTAGAAAAGGAGGAAAACATCTCAGTTTGTAGTAGTTGCTTAGCTTGTTGTTGTTTAGAAAACTACTGTTGTTGATTGTAGCGAATTCGCGGATTAGCGTTCTTTAGCTGTTTTGAATTATGTTCTATTGGACATTTGAGTAGTTAGAAGATAACTATTGTGAGATATTGTAATACTGCATAATTTGAGAAAATTTAAGCATTTTTTGTTGTGATAATAATAAATTTTTGTTCATTTTTCATCGGACTTGTGCATTCATTTCATAACGAACCCGTACGTACGCAACAGTATTGACGCCGTCTTTAACAGGATAAATGATTTTAATTTTGTTTTTCACAAACATCAGACCTTAACGTTTCAGCAACCAAAAGTTCCATGGTCTTCTTATTAGATATTTTGGCTTTTTTGCATAACATAACTTCTTGTGAGAAATGACCCCTTTCGGTTTCGGTATAAATGCATGTTTCGGTTCTTCGAAACGGATCGGAGGTGCATTTCATACTTTGTCGGTTTGTCATTTGGTATTCTGTATTATGCCTAGGCAATGTGTGAAATGTTTAATCGTTCCACACATTGCCGGTGGTGTTCATAGGTGTTCTATAGAATGTCGGATTTCATGCTTTGCCGGTAACACTTTTATCTAGGGAAATGTTATATTTTAATATGTTATATTTTTTTTAAATAAAAAATCAGATGTGACACATGACTTTCATGTATGGAATACTAAATTATACGCATTTTTTCCTGCATTTCACTTAAGGGCACTCATACACCTTAAAACCCGTAACATCTTCGAATATGTGACTGTTGCAAGAATTGGGATAACTTATTTATTTTAAAAGCAATTACTTCCACCTTTTTACAGCTGACTACAGAATATAGCTGCTTTCTGAAATAGTAATCAGAAAGTTTGTATTGCCAAAAATATTTTCATAATTTAATCCGCTTTGTGACAACATTTTCCGTCATGTTTCCAACTTGCGAGCACAATTTAAAACATTCTGTTTCATATTTAATTCCATATTTAATATATAGCTTTTATAACATTTGGAAACGACTGTGAACCTAAAATTCTAAAAATTTCATGTTAAATTTTTATTTTATTTTTTGTGGAGTTTATAAAATGTATTTTATTACAAAATCTGTAATGTTTTCGTCCATATTCGTCCATGTTCATCAAATTTTTGGTTCAGTTAGAAAATAGTGCCCATATAAAGAATTCCATCGAATTTCAAGTATGTACCATTAGCCATTTTTAAAATATCGTGCGCGCAAGCTGGAAACAGGGCGAAATATTTTGTCACAAAGAGGATTAAATTACAAAAATATTTGTGGCAACGCAAACTTTCTGGTTACTAGTTTCCAAAGCAGCTACATTATGTAGTCAGCTGTAAGAGGTTGGAAGTAATTGCTATAAAAATAAATAAAATATCCCAATTCTTGCAACAGTCGCATATTCGAAGATCATAAGGGGTTTAAGGTGTATGAGCCCCCTTAAATTTATTTATTGGAATTTCATTAAAGATACATTTCTCATTCAATGAATTCAGTTCTCACTTCGCGGCAAGGCGAAAAAACAAATAAAAACTCAAAATACCTTCATTAAAAATTGAAAGATGTAGAAAAAAATAAAACACCAAACACAGTTAAAACAATTTAAAATATTTTACAACTAAAATGACAGTTTGTACGCGAAAACAAGCAATTTCGCCAGAAGGCAAAAACGCATTTTTGGTGCACAAAACTAAAAGTCTTCAGCTAAGTTTTAAATGTAAACATATATGGCTGCTATGGTAAAAATAAATTCGGCTTATCAGCACTGAAACAACTTTTAAATAGTTAATAGTTCCACAGCTATTGCATGCAGATTAACTAAAGGCATAGAAAAACTTAACCGGGGGATAAGAACAACATAATTCAAATCTATTATTTTTAAAGCAAAAAAAAAAAAAAAACCCTCAACCCGCGCAGCGGAGTAACTGAGTGTGTATGTGTGTATATATATATATATTTGTAATAATAAAATTCCATAGTCAAAAATACAATTAAAATTCTATGTATGTTCTTTTCATTTTTTAATAGCGACGTACTCTTATTTGAAAGTACGTGGAATTAAATCCACAGCCCCGTAGTCAAGTTGTTTTTCCCGCCTTTTCTACCCGTACAGTTTTAGAATGTTCTGGAGATTTTCAAGCGAACTGGATTGGTTGACGAGGCTGACGTCATTTCTTGGAAGCTCCGCCTTTCCAGAGGCTATAACATGACTCGCAAAAGGAATATCGGGGCTTTTTCTTAAATGTCACGATGCAGTAAACTTCATACAAAAAGTGATTAGTAATTCTTTTTATTTACTCCGGATATCTGATTTTGTAACTGCTATTTTCTCCTGAAATATAATAAATGGATCCTGTTTTTTAAAACTTATCGTCTGATTATTTAAGCTACGACTACATTGATGATTCTTCAACACTCTATTTATTCCTGACAAAAGCTGGTACATCATATATATATATGTATAAATTAAAAAATGAGAACAACCTAAAAACGACCTTTTTCAAGTAGATGCCGGCGATCAAGGTCTGTTTTTTAAAAAATTTTCTTTCCATTGTTTTAATGTTTGGTCTTAGCAAAACCCTAATTAATTCCCTTTTAATTTTAATTTTATAGTTTTTTCCTTCGTTTTACAAAGTTTAAACTCTTTAAGCTAGTGGGTCATCCCTAAAAATCTTGTATTTTTGACTAATAGCAATTTGCTATTTATTTTATTTTGTACATTTGTTTAATCAGGCCAAAATTTGTATAGTTTTCTTACACCATTAATGTGTTTCTCATTTACTATTACACCGGTCGTGTCGGGAAATGAAACAGAAAAATTCAGACTAAAGTTTTTATCTAAGTTATTTTATCAGTTAAATATTCATAAAGTTTCAAGTAGTCTCGATTTTCTGTTTTGACGAAACGCCATATGGAATTAGCTGGATTCGAAAACCATTATGCATCATGCTAGTTTACCATTTACCGCTTTTTTGTACTTTTTGTATTTTTGCTTATGTCTTATATAACCACTGTATTTCTATTCAACTATTTTAAGCTTGTCTTAACTTCAACTATTTTAAGCTTGTCTTTAATCAACATATTACTTCCAATTTGATTTGAGTTTTTAATACTCTTATTATTTGTACGTATTCTAATGATAATTTCGTTTACTTTGTATTTACACTTTTCATTGCACCTTATTTTACTCATGTTAAAAAAAAAAAAAAAAAAAAAAAATTCACCGGAACCACAGTATCACTACGACTTTTAGAAAAAAGCATGAAGAATTTTCTTTTTACTCTGTCATATATATATAAAAATATAAAGTAAGAAGTTTAGGGCTAAAATTTCCCAAAGACCCCAAATTTTGTTTTAAAATTCATAATTAATAAATTTTAAATAATATATATTATATTATAAGAATAAATTGAATTTAATTAAATAAATTTAATTTAAATACATTTTTATTTTAATTACTATTTTAAATTAAATAATATTTATTTTAATTAAAATTTTTTTACTTTTATGTGTTTGTTAAAATTTAAATATATTATATTTATACACTTTTGTTGCTGCTGATTGCAACAAACAAAAGAAGGTGCACAAGTACATGTTGTAGCAGTGCTATATACAAAATTTCAACTTTGTGGGGCTAGTCGCTTTTGAGATATGCGAGATACACACATACATACATACGTACGTACAAAAAAAAAAAAAAAAAAAAAAAAAAAAAAAAAAAAAAAAAAAAAGACGTCACGCAAAAAAAATCTCTTCTGAATCTATTTTAAATATTATTTGCCACCTGTTTTGAGAAAAAGAGTACTTTATTCTGTTCTTACGTACAGATGTCACGGGAAAATATCGTTAAATAGTATTCTATAGCGGTCAAAATTGATATTTTCGTTAAAATATGACACTCGAAAATTTTCGCGATTACTATACTTCCTGTACTTCGTACATGGGGGGTAAAAAATGCGAAAGAGAAAGGAAATTACTTACATTTGTCGCAGTTCTTTACATCCACTGAGGTCTGGTAACTTGTCGATTTTGTTTGATCTCAGAATGCTGAAATAATAAAATCTGATGTGTACACCACATGACTTCCTTGTGCGGAATATTAAATTATACGCATTTTTCTTGCATTTCATTTAATCTTATTGGATTGAATTAAATCTACTTCGTCGAGAGCGCATAAACCAAAATAGAATAAAGGCACTCTTTAAAATTCACTACATTTGTTTACCATAGCGACACTCTGGCGCTAGGTTCACTTAATATTTCGTTGATATTATAACACAGAATGCACAAAATTTACAGTGTCTCACAAAAGTGATGGGACACTTGTGCTTTACAAAAGGAAACTGTAGTAAAATAAATTAAGAAAACATGTAAAAATTTTTTGTGGGTGTGTTTCATACTTAAATTTAGTAACAATTATTACATAACATACATTTTCTCAAAATATTAAAATATTAATTTAATAAAAATACAATTGTTTAGAACGGAGCAAAAAATGGCTCACATAAGTGATGGGACACTTACTTTTCCATCAAATATTTATCCAAAAATTTTACTTTTTAAAAGGTTTTAATATTTTGTTGGATTTCCTTTTACTTTTAAAACATGATTTAATCTTCTTGGGATGGATTCGACTAATTTTTTTTTTTTTTTTTATTTTATTTCTGGAGTGATTTTACCCCATTCTTCTTGAAGCACCGATTTTAATTGTTGTTTTGAAGAAATGGTGTGTTTGCGAATTCTTGATTCCAATTCTTGCCAAATATTCTCTATGGGATTTAAGTCTGGAGATTGTGGGGTTTTTTTATTATTTCAGGACAGTTATACAGCAGCCAGAGTCTAACGTTCAAAGCAGTGTGCTTGGGGTCATTGTCCTGGTAGAATTTAAAATCGTTATGAAGGTTCAATTTTCGTGCTGAAGATTTCAAATTTTGATTTAAAATGTCAATATACTTGTACTGATCCATTATACTGTCAATAAAAACAAGATTACCAACTCCAGCGGACGACATACACCCCCATACCATAACTCCTCCTCCACCATGTTTTACTGTTGGCACCAAGTTCTGTTTGCGAAATTCTTCCCTGGGTTTTCTCCACACCAAGATTCTACCGTCAGAACCAAATATATTAAATTTACTCTCATCAGCAAATATAACTTCATTCCAGTAATCAGAATTCTTATTTATGTTGGATTTTGCGAAAGCCAGTCTGAGTTTTCTATTCTTTTCACTTACGAAGAATTTTTTTCCTGGCTGCTCTACCGTGATATCCAGCAGATCGAATTACTCTTCTAATAGTCTCAGGATTAACAATTACTCCATATAATGCTTGTAAATCAGCAGCAACTTTAGGAGCACTCATTCTTGGATTTTTTTTTTTTTTTTTAATATTTCGAACGATAATTCGCTTTATTCCATTGGATAGCTTTGATGGTCGGCCAGGTCTTCTTTTATCCTGAATCATATGATTCTTTTTATATCGTTTAATGATATTGAAAACTGTTGAATGACTCAAGTTAACTGTTTCAGCAGCAGTTTCTCTAATAGATTTTCCACGTTCAATATGCAAATTAATAACTAATTTTCGAATTTCAGGCAAAGTTTCTTTTCGTTTAGCATTCATGGCTGCACAGAGCTAAAAAAAACACAAAAATTCCAAAACAAACTGGAGAGAAATACTGCAGACGATTTTATAAATTATTGCCAATTGCTTTTGAGTAAAAATAAAAAACCCCAAAAATATTTTTATTGTAGTACGTAGTAGTATCTAATGGTGTCCCATCACTTATGTGAGCCATTTTTTGCTCCGTTCTAAACAATTGTATTTTTATTAAATTAATATTTTAATATTTTGAGAAAATGTATGTTATGTAATAATTGTTACTAAATTTAAGTATGAAACACACCCACAAAAAATGTTTACATGTTTTTTAATTTATTTTATTACAGTTTCCTTTTGTAAAGCACAAGTGTCCCTTACTTTGTGAAACACTGTATTATTGAAGATTATTTATATAACCACATGTTTATTCAATAATAATAAAGTAGAAGATGTATAAAAGAAAAAGCAAAAAACAAAAAGAAACAGTTTTTCACAGACGACGAGATTCTCATTCAATTAATTCAGTTACTTCGAGAGGCAAAAATACATAAAAACTCAAAAATATCTATATTAAAAATTACGAAGTAAATCTTAATCACTTATTTCCTCGAAAAAATTCCAGAAAGGATTAAGCATGATTTAATTCGCAATAATAAATGAAGGCGTTATTTTTATTGTTGCGAAGCTTAGTCTCTCTAGATTGGCAACAAATCTACTATTCTGCTGTTTCAAATGTAAACAAATATGTTCGCATGTTTTTTAAAACTTAACCGCACTTAAACAGCTTTTAAATTGTTGATAATTGTACAAATATTGCTTCCAGATTTACGAAAGGCATAAAAACCTTAACCGGAAGATAAGAACAACATAATTCAATCATTTTTAAAGCAAAAAATATACAATTTACAAACATATAAGAGTAAAGAAACTGAGATCACTATACTGAGTAACAGAGTGGATATATATATACGTTTGGTGCCGCCGACTGCAACCAAAATTCGAGGTGCACATCTACATGTTACAGCAGTCCTATATACCGTCTTTTTCTGAAAATAAGACATCCTCCGAAAATAAGCCCTATCGTGATTTTCGGAACTTTTTGTAAAATAAGACATCCACCGAAAATAATCCCTAGTTAAAATAATGCGACAAAAAGAATTCGTTAAAAAATGCTGTTGATTTATTAAGTATAAATAATAATATGTTTAGCTTTCCTAATACTCATATTTCAGAGAAAAGATTGAAACTAAATATTCCGAGAAATTAATTGTTTACCTCTACAGTTCGTTTCAAACTAATTCTTGGAATTTATCTTAACCAGTTCACCATTTGCCCCGAGATTGATACGTTCACAGGAAAGGCATCGTCATCCGTTAGCGTCGGCAGACTCTCGTCGGGGTGAAATTTGGGCTGAACCGTAACCCCCGAGACACATACGACGCAGCGACCTTTTTCCAACCCCCACAGAATGAGTCGAAAATCAAAAGGGCTGATTGATGGGTAAAAAATTCGTGGGACAAAATAACTACTGAGAGTGATGTGTCCAATGCACTACGAACAGGCTACTTAAACAAGAAGTATTCATTTAACAATAGCTATATCGCACGACATGAGAGATTCGAACCAATGATTCAACAGGAAATGGATTTAGAAGAAAATCAGAATATAATTCAGAATTTTATTTATGACAATGTTCCAGAAGAAGATGACATGACTGTAGTTGAATAAATTTAAATTTCTGTTTTCTGTGTAAAATAAATATTAAATAAAAATATATAAATATACTTTTATTTTTGCCCTTCCCCGAAAATAAGCCCTAGCGCGAATTTTGGACCAAAAAAGAAAGTAAGACAGTGTCTTATTTTCGGAAAAAGACGGTATAAAATTTTAACGTTCTGAGGCTACTCGTTTTTGAGTTATGCGAGATACGTATATACGTTCGTACAGACGCCACGAAAATTTCTCTTCAGAATTGATTTTAAAGCAGTTTTATAATTTTTTTGGAGGAAAAGAGTCTTTTATTCTGTCCTTACGTACAGATATCACGCAAAAACATCATTAAATTGCATTCGATAGCGGTCAAAATGGATATTTTCGTTGAAATATGCTGCCTGAAACTTTTCGCGATTACGATACTTCTTTTTACTTCGTACAAGGAAGTAAAAATATATATAACTAAATCTGAAATAGCATACCATTCATTTATCATATTTCTATGTCATATAGATAGATGAGCATCGCCAGCTGCCATTTTATTGCGCCTGGGCTCGAGAAGGTTTGGACGTTTGTAATTGTATAATTGCATCGTCACGTGGGAATTCCTTAAAATACTCGACAAGTTCTCTGGAGTGGTTTGGTGGTGGAGAATGAGGGATGGGAGACCCTGGGACTCGTTCCCTGGGAGTGTTGTTCTTTCTCTAAATTGGGATAGGACTGGTTATGTCACGTATATGCCATCGAAAGGCGCAATATTGTGCTAGTCACCAGGATAAAATCCGTGGATTTGTTCTCATTTTACTTTCAGACAAGTGAGATGACTCACAAGAACAACAAAATAGATGACAAATGTTACATATTTACTTTCCCCAAACTTTCTTCAGCCACTTAGAGAAACCAGCAGTAACTTAGGTTAAAACAACACGCCGTACAAATACTAATTTAGAAGTCAAACCACAAAAATCAGCGTTATATTTGCGAATTTTTACGGGACTAGTTTCGATGGTTTTAACGAACCATCATACTCAGCTGCCAAAGTGCGAATGCACGAGATAAGATATAGCAAAAAGATAAGATAAGAATGATTGGACTAAGTTAAGCTACTGGCGCCATCTATCGATGAAGCAATAAAACTAAAACATAATTTCCTTAAAGGTTGAAGGTAAAGATGGATTGGAATTAGGGTCGTTAACTAGAATCAAATTTTAGAGAATTTTCCCTTTAATTAACGCCTTTGAAGTTAATGTTTAGCCTTAAGCAATATATGGAAGCGTATTTTTATGTTCTTTCCACTGGATTATATGTTTTATATAATCTATTAACACATTTATAAATCTATTTATACTTTATAAAAATATAGATACATTTTTGGTATTGTGCAATTTATTTGTAACTCGTATCACTAAAATAAATCCATTAATATTAGGTAAAATAGAAGTAGTATTTGTGAAAATATAAAAGCTCTTAATTTGCAAAAAATCCCTACATGATGCAGAAATTCGGATTCCATTTTTGAAATTAGCACTAAAAAAATATATAAAATTAGATTTAAAACATTAAAAAACATTGGTACTCTTCTGTTTTAAGGGCCGTAAAAAAATTGCAGCGCAAAAGCGCCAAATCTAGCAAACGCGTCAATTTAACAGCTCGCCAAATCTAGCGTACGCGCTGTTTTCAGATTGCGTAAGTTTATATAGTTCTATATTTCTTAAGACGCCATTGAAATACTACTTTAATTTTTAAATCCTTTTTTGATTTTAAATCCTTTTTTGATTTAAAATCCTTTTTTGATATCCTATGGATTTAACAATTTTGGAATTGCCCATGATGAAAAGTCGGCAATGGAATTTTGGGCAAAGTGCAGAATCACACCCCTGATGACGGTTTTAAGAATTGCACATACTCGGTATCCATGTGCACATCGACCATTTTTACTTAAAAAAATCCAGAATGCACAAATATGGCACTGCGCACCCCCTTTTATTATGCACACATCGACTATTTCATTTAAAACTAAAATAAAATTGACAAAAATCCAATTGTTTTCCCTTGAAAAAGCGGCAAACAAATAAGTGAGCGATTCTGCACTTCTGAATTCCTATTGAATATTTTCAAAGAAAAAGGCATCATTCTTATAGAAATACGTTTGAACAACCAACGAAATGAAGTTATGCTTTAGCGATAAGTCGGTAGCGAAATAGCGATGTAAGCGTCCATTCAGTTATGTTTAGCAATTTTTATATAAATTATATTACTCCATTCTTTCCGCAATTATTAGGGTTGCCGCAATTATTTTTGGCAGCATCGGCATCAACAATAGTTTAGCGATTTTTTACGGCCTTCGAAACCGAATAGTACCAAAATATTGTGTATACGAGCCCGTTTTCATTAGAAAGTCCTCCACGAAGGCATCCCTCCCTTTAGACAGATAGCCCTAGTGTGCTTTGCCATAATTAAATACACACATACACATAGTACCAAAATATTTCATGGTCAAGACTTTTCAAGTAATATCAAAACCTTCATATGCTGATTTATTTGAATCTATGATTTTTATTTCTATTTAGGCTCTTTCAGAAAGAATATTAATTAATATTCTTCAGTTTCGTACTGTCAAAAATATGTGCGTCATTGAAAAGATATTCAGTGTTGTTTCGATTCGAAACTCAGTGTCAGAGATTATCATTCCCAGTGCATCCGATAGATGGCAGTACTTACAGTCTCCTGAGCAAAGGAACTTTATCGCACAAGTCGCTTGGAATGTAACGTAAGCTGGCTCGATCAAGGGCTAACAATTCGAGAGCGCTAGTCCCTGTCAAATCTGGAAATTCTTCCATCTGCCTGGCTTCTGATACTCGTCTGCAAGGAAGAAAAACAAAAAATTATATTTCTATTATATTACTGCATAATTTAAATCTGAAGGTAATAAGTAGCAATAAATAGAATATGTTTCGCAATAATTTTAATAGAACAGACCATTTAAGAAGTAATTTAATTCATAAAATAACTCAAATGGGTTTGGCCCAGAAGGGCTATTAATTTTAAAATGGCATTATGCGTGGATTCACTTTTGAAACTGTTGCCACCAAATATTACTCCCATGTATAAAGAAAGTAAATAATGAAGAATCTGCATAAATGCATGAAAGTTTCTCAAGTTGTGAAGAAACAATGGTAGAGCCACCCAGTTTTGAATAACGTAGTCTTCCAACCGAGCATTGGCACTTGGAAGCTCGAATTTTGAATTTCGAATTTCTTTTATTACCTATTTCATAATTTGTAAAACTTTAACGAATTTTTTATTAACAAACTCAACGATTTCAAAGCGAGTAATGGCAACACTGTACTGGAAAAAAAAAAAAAAAAAAATCTCCAGTGCAGAAGACTGGAGACTTTTCGGAATTCCAAAGCTATGCTGTTTTTCAATATTTTCCGATATTGCTGTTAAATTGTGTTTTAAGAGCGGAGGGCATGATATTTAATGAATAAAGGTAACACACAAAACGTTACAAAGCACCCTTTTGGACGTAATTATAAAATCTGAAACCCTTTAGATTTATTTATTAGTCCAAAGGGGCTTCGTTCCTGAAGGACTATTGTTTTCGTTTTGCGATTTTGCGTCGAATCACCCTGAATGCCCATTTCACTTTTCAAATTGTTGCCATCAAATATTATCACCCTATATTATATTTAAAGAAATTAAATATTGAAGTATCTGCATAAATGTATGAAAGTTTCTCGCACTGTGATAAAACAACGGTATCTACAGCCATCCAGTTTTGAATGACTTAATCCTACTGCGAATATGGTCATCTGAAAGTCCAAATTTAAAATTTGGAATTTGTTTTAATATCGATTTCATATTTTGTAAAACCTTAACGAATTTTTGATTAACAAACTCGAGGTTTTGAAAGCGAGCAATGGCAACACTGTACGAAAAAAAAAAAAAAATTTATATGTCCACCGCGCGAAACTGTGTATCGGAAATTCTAAAGATATGCTGTTTTCAAATATTTTGTGATATTGCTGTTGGATTGAATTTTATGTGTTTTAAGTGTAAAGAACATGATATTTAATAAATAAAGGTAACGCATTTACCTTTATTTATCAAATACACATTTTTAGAGAGATTTCGAGAAATAGTTAAAAAAAAAAATGTTTAGGAACAAAAATTTCTGCGACAGTTTATTATTTGAAATGAGAAATATGGTTTACTGGGTTTCAAATTCATTCTGCTTTCAAAATGTCGCATATGTTTTTGCATTTTCCGAAGAGAGATATTCCTATTCCATAATTCAAAAATGATGTGGAACGTATGGTATTAAAATTTCTAAGTGCAAAATAAGCAACATTATTTATTGGAAAGGGAAAAACCGTCAAGCATTATTTTTATATAGAAAGAAGAATCTAAACGAATTCCTGAAAAACATACGTACTGTTTCTACTTTTTCTGAACATAAATCACTGGTAATAAGAGAAAATCCGCCGACGCAGAATTTAATTGCAAAATGTTCTTTAAATACATCTGTAGCAATCTATACCAATAAAATCTGTGCGCGTCTGTTTGTTTATCGCATTATATCCTCCGAACGGCGGGGAGTTGAGCTTCGAGAGAAGTACCCTCGGGTTCCAAAAATTCCTGGGAATCCATTTGGACCATTTTCATATGCGTACGACTTTAATTAACCGAGACATTAATTAAAAACTCTGAAAACGCTAATTTTCGCCCTCATTTTTCCGAGTGGCAACAGTGTCGCAGGCTGGAAATAAAATTCTCCTTTATTTAGAAAAGTGTTGCCACTGCTCACTTTCAAATAGTTGAGTTTTTTCTTAATGAAAAGTTTCTAAGTTTTACTAAATATGAAATAAAAATAGCGTTGCCAACATTAATTATACTATTATTTCCAATTCCAAAAATTCGTGGAAAGCCATTTCGACCATTATTATCTTCGAACAACTTAAATCAGCTGAGATATTAATTTAAAACTCTGAAAACGCTCATTTTTGCCCTTATTTTTACGAGTGGCAACAGTCTTGCGAGCTGGAAATAAAAATTTGCTTTATTTTGAAATGTGTTGCCACTGCTCGCTTTCAAACCGTAGATTTTATTAATAAACAAATTTGTAAGTTTTGCAAAATATGAAATAAAAATAGCACTGAAAAACTTTAAACATATTATTACTATTATATAAGGTCATATTCTGAACTTGAAGAAAGCACGCGATTGCAAGTGACGTCAGTGTTGTTCATTAATGTCAGCATTTTAAATAAATAGCTGCTGTTGGCAAATTTTTTGTTTCAGGTCAGTATAATTGACACGATATACTATTAATGCCAAGTTAATTATTTTACTGATATTGAGAAAGTGTTATATTACATTAAATTAAAAAGGTACTTTTCCGTTTTGCCGGCGCAAACGATAAAGTCGCTAATATTGGTACAACTGACGCGAAATGGAATATCTTGGCTGGTAACCTTCTACAACTCATTTTCAAAACAAGTCGCAGCCATTTCTTTTGAGATTTATTGTTTCTTTCAATACTGACAAACAATTACGTAGAATGTTTACTAGATAGTTAAATTTTATGCCCTAAGTCTATTCGCGGTAATTAAGTCAATTAGAATGCAATCACACAGCTCACCCGAAGGCGAAAATACAGAAAAGACAAAATCAAGGGTTAAATTCATCTATTCTACTGAGAATGCACTAGCGAAGTAAAGCACTGCGGTTTTACATAATTTTTGAGTAAGCTATTCTTACGAATTGAAATAATTATTGCATTTAAACTTGTATTCCAAATTAAGATTTAACTTGAAATGAATGTAGATAATGACTGAGAGAATTAGATTTTTGTAGTGTAGTTTACGTGAGATGAGATCGCTTGGGATCACGTGATACGAACCGGAAAATTAAGATGTTGAATCATGAAAGCATAGTAAATTCTTACATTAATGTCTTTTTACAGACTTATTGTCTTTATTTATTGGATTTTTACAAAATTTTAAACCGTATTAAAATGTTTATGCCTTCAAAATAAAAAATTCTTAGAATTAACATTTGTTAATATTTTATATGTGTAGCGTATTCGGAAACTAAGTACCGTTTCATTCTAGCGCCGTCGCAGCGCTGTCGTAGGCGTCCCACGCACGCGTACTAGTCTTTCTTGTTCACTGACTTTCAATTGTCGCCATTTTGGTTGCTCTGTGTTGTGTTTTCAGTTTGCTGTGCACATTCAAAATCTTTAAGACAATTAGATCTCCCGCTGACTGTGAGATTCGTGCCGTGATTAAATTTTTGAACGAGAGGAATGTTAAACCGGCCGAAATTTATCGTCAAGTGACAGAGGTTTACGGTGAATACGCGATATGTGATGAAATGGTGAGAAAGTGGATAAGAATGTTTAATGCAGGTCCGAACAAATGGCCACGCCGAGGCTCGGAGTGGTCGTCTTTCTGTTGTCACCGATGATTTGGTAAGGAAAGTTGATGAAGCAATTCATGAGAACAGACGTTTCACAATGACAACTCTTTCAGAGGCATTTCCACAAATTTCGCGTACTGTTTTGTTCGAAATTGTGTCTGACCGCTTGAATGATCGCAAACTGTGTTCCCGATGGGTTCCAAAAATGCTCACTGATGTTCACAAAACAAAGCGACTTGGTAGAGCCCTGACATTTCTCACGCTGTACAGTGATTAGGGAGAAAACGTTTTAAACCAAATTGTGACAGGTGATGAAACTTGGGTGTGTCATTTCACACCAGGAATCGAAACAACAATCGATGGAGTGGAAACACACTCATTCTCCGAAAAAACAAAAGTTCAAAGTGACAAGGTCATCACAAAAAAATCACGTGCACTGTCTTCTGGGATAGGAAAGGCGTTTTGCTTACTGAATTTCTTCCCAGAGGTGAAACCATTAATGCGGCACAATATTGTGAGACTTTAACAAAACTAAGGCGTGCCATTCAAAACAAACGAAGAGGAATGCTCGGTAAAGGAATTGTGTTGCTCCATGACAATGCTCGGCCCCATACTGTTGGTGTCACTCAATCGTTAATTCGACAGTTTCATTGGGAGGAGTTCGATCACCCGCCGTACAGTCCGGACTTGGCGCCGTCCGACTATCACTTGTTCCTGCACATGAAGCGCGAGCTTGGTGGCAAGCGCTTTGGATCTAACGATGACACGAAAAATGCTGTGGAGTCGTGGTTATCGAAACTGACGGGAAGTTTCTTTGACGATGGTATACAAAAACTGGTCACTCGCTATAACAAGTGTTTGATCATTGGCGGAAGCTATGTTGAAAAATAGTTTAATACATGTATTTTCATGTAAAAATAAAATTGGATTCGAAAAAATTGTTTTACTATTTTTTTTTTTTTTTTTTTTTTTTCAAAACGGTACTTAGTTTCCAAATACGCCTCGTATTTTATGTTTTCGCCAACAAAGTCTGCTTGGCGAGATTTGCGCCGGCGAAACGGAAAAGTACCTTAAATAAAAATCAAGCCATCATACGTACTAACCTGAAATGTCCAAAGTTTTTGTTTCCTGGTTCGGCAATAAGAAAATTATTTAGGGATTGGTCGTTGCTTAGAAAGAATGATCTGATTTCATTCATACCGAAATGCTTTTTTTTTATCCATATGCATTTTAGGGGTACATAGCACTTATAAATTTTGCTTTGGCTACAGCCCGTTAGTCTGATTATAAAATTAGTTGTAAAATTATTTACAATATCAAATTACTAAATACGTGGGCGAAAACGGAAAAAAGGTTTAATTTTTTTCGGCCTTTACTTTGTTGAAAACAAAGCAAGAGGATTAATATACTGTTGCATGACTACGGATTCGTAATAAATT